CCTCTCTCTCTTTCTCCCTCTGGCCTCTCTCTCTTTCTCCCTCTGGCCTCTCTCTCTTTCTCCCTCTGGCCTGGTCTCTTTCTCCCCCCCCCCCCCCCCCCCGTGTTTTGTAGTGACTTGGGGGCTTTTAGAGAAATCTATGCTGTGCAGCAGGGGATGCCAGCATTTGACACGTCTGAAAGTGTTGAATGTAGAAAATCTTTGGGCAAACTTTGTTCTTCAACCTAGTTGAAGTTTGGGGGAGCAGGTGAGTTTTATATGCTTTCTTTGTAAGGACGATTACATTTTGAATTTTTTAAAAGTGGCAAAATTGCTTTAAAGAGGGTCTGTCAGCTATAGACATGGAAGATCTACACTAAATTTACAAATATGGCTGATAGCTGGTGTGTTGAATCATTTGCTGGCTTCTTTTATTTTCCAGGATGTCTGGATTTGTGGTCTTCCTATCTCTGCCTATCAATGCCACTTCCTGCTACATTCCCTGTAATGTAAATGCGCACTAAATTGGGAGAGTGTGATCCCTTTTAATGGCTGTGGCAGGTAGATGGATTTGGGAACTCTTTGATGTAGCCACAGACAAATCGTAGGTGAGAATCCTCACTTGATCATTTCTCTTTTCCTCTTTTAAGCCAGTAACTAGTGAGGATGGTGTGTGGCTTTCCTCTGTATAGATTCAGGCTAGGTTTTCACCTGCACTACACCGCATGACACCCAGGACACGCGTCCCGGGTGTCGTACGTTCCTGCACAATGCAGGCAGCGATTGCCCGTGGCCTAATCGATTTCAATGGGGTGACATCCACGCAGCAATTGCAGAAAAAAGGTACAAGTACCTTCTTTTTGCGATGCACGACGCAAGGCTAGGAAACCGCGCGATCCACCTGGCATGACTGGGGTGCCATTAGAAAATAATGGCACCCACAGCGCGATCAGTTCACACTTTGACGACCCCTGACCACGTGGCAATCCGCACGGAATCGTGCACGATTGCTGCGCGGTGAGGTGTAGCCTAGGTGTAAACCTAGCCTCAGAGACAGGGTAAAGCTGGCCATAGTTTTCTGAATCAAAAAATGTTTTAAGAGATTTCTTCATCTACGTTATACAGTGTAGATGGATACATCTCCCACTGTGTCTATTGTTTTCCGACAGTTGGCGCTCCCCACTGTCAGAGTACATAAAGACTAGATTCACACCTGCACTACACCGCACAAAAAACCCGGG